ACTTTAAAAAAAAGGTAAAGGATTATAAAATTGGCACTTGGTGAGAATGAGCCTATTTTTTTTCAACTATCTTGAGAGAGGTAATAGCAGTAATACAATAGTTTATGATGCCTTTGGTGGTCTACAGCCCAATTCCGCATCATTAACTTTAATGGGAGTTTTCCCACTGGCGACGATTGGATTAGGAATATGCCCCAAAAGACAAAAATATCCAGAGATCAAAAAACAATAATCCTTACAGAAACAATTGTCTTGTTCAGTTTCCTTTAAAACACAGAAATAGACACATGCGTTGAGACACACACACAGGGAAAATTATTTTTGATGAAAAGATGGTTGAATTGTAGGCAATAAAACCAAATAATCTTAAAATGTCTAATATAGGAAGTACGTTGTGAAACAGGGTTAAGACATTCTGCAAGCACAAGTATTTTTTAAATTTTGGTAATTCAAATAAAATATACCATATTACACCAAAATCATCACATTGGGATAGTAAATTATGATGTCTGGCTACCCTTTTGCAAGGTGCACCTGCTTACCTTTGTACTGAAAGTATTATAGCAATGTAAGATAAGGCTGTGTCAGCATATCTATTACAGACCCCTATTTTCTGGGGTTCATGAGTTGGCTGACGGTAATTTTGTTATCAGCGAAACTTGATGTGAAGTTTCAGTCCAGAAGCAATTTTTAATTCCAATTTCCTTCTTAACATAGAGATTGGTTATTTTTGTGTTGTAGAAGTATATTTAAGAAAAATGTTTAAGTTATTTATGTACAATGCAGAATTAGGGTTTTGACAAAACATACAAGCCTGTAAACACTGATCTTTACTGTTTAAAGAACCCAGTCTTACTGTTACATGTGTGAGTGTATATATAGGATAAGGCCTTAAAAATCCAAAACATCTCAGACCCTGATCTAGCTATTACCAGCAACTTCAGCAGAAATCATAGCAAGCATTACACCCAGTAGTGTTTGCAACAGTGAGATCTCTAATGGTAAACTTTTAATGATAACTTTTAAATGGTCCTGATCTAGTTCTTGCTTAACTTAAAGTACATGCACTGGCCTCAATGGATATGCTCAAATGCTTACAGCGAAATGGTCTAATATGTGTTCACAAGGCTGGGACCTACAATGATAACAGTAAGTAGTTTTAGACTTTATTCATGCACTTTTAATAAGAAGAGTATGTATTTCAAATATATTTTAAAAAGAGCTAGTCTGGTCAATCAGGTGCAAAGTGAAACTAAAAATAAAAACAAATAGATATTTACCTGGGAGATTAAAAATATAATCCAGAAGTTTTTAAATTATGTATTTTTCACTTAAGAATGTATTATTTATCTTGTTGTCACAAGTATAAATTTATATTTTAAGAGTTCATGACAAGCCTTTTCTTTTCCTTACAAATTTAAAATAAATGATTGACTTTATGTGTAAATCAGACTGTAAGTGTTCATAAGATCTTCATTGCCTTACACCAGTGTCAATTGGGAGTTGCTTCACTGGGGACTATGGAATCACACCTGGGTAAAACAGGTTTTAGTGAGATGAGAACCAGACTCTTGGGTTTGTTTGATGTGGGTGTTTAAAAAAATTAAAAATATATATCAGCTAGACTGGTAACTTTTAAAGTCAGACTGTTGTTTATTTAGTCTAATAGATGGAAAGTATCAGATACTTTTAATTAAGTGGGCTTTATATAAACCAAAGGATACTATGGGCCCACTAATACACACGTATAGGGCATAAGCCAAAGCTCATTGCAGTAAGGGAGTGTCTTTGAAACATGAAAGACACCCATTGGCTTCAGTGGGTTGTGCATTGGGCCTATAACTCCCTTTAACAGATGGGCACTTCACATACATATCTGAGGGAAGAATTGTCCTCTATTACATGTATATGTGTGTCTGAATACACACAAGCACACACCTGTGATAAACAGATATGCATACAGGATATAACATATGCATGCATATATATATTGCTATGTATATTACATATACTTTATGCAATATATATATGTATATATAATGTGAGTGTGTTTGTGTGTATGTATATATATATATATATATAGCATGACTTATGTAATATACATGCACATACACAATGTTTGTGTGTATGTATTTACCAAAAATAGTAATCATTCAAACATATTAAAGGGACCTTCTAAAATATGGGAAAAGTGTTTGAACTACAAAGCATCCTTGTGAAATTTTTTAATGAAAGTGTATATTAATTCTTATTGCATTCATGTAATTTTGCAATTCTCTGTTTAAACATTAAATATCTTCTATAGCAGCAAAATAACTAAATGCTTGTTCATATTTTCATAATGTTGACTTAATTTATTAACTGAAAGATGACTATAAGGAGGTATTAGCAGAACTGGTGAGTTTTAATACAAGTATATATAAGTGTGTATATAATATATATAGATATAGACATCAACATTTCTAGAGTTTTTGCTTCAGAGCAAGCACTTTAAAATGTCCAGTTAGAATATGTTTTTATGGTATTGCTGATGCAAAATAAAGTTAATCTATTAGCATTTATAACAAAGAAGTAATGGATTTCATGATTTAAAGCAGGTAAATGTTGTTAATATAAAGCCCTGTGATGATGTTTTATAATCTGAGTAAAATAAAGAGATGTTGTAAACTGGCAGGTCCTATGATCATTGCCTATCACAAGTTATGTGGGAGGTGATATGGATTCAGTGAAACCGCTTCAAGAGTCTATTTTTTTAGTGTCGTATAGGGTAGATCATATTCTATATAAGTTTGATACAGAGGAAGTAATCATGCCCCTGCAAAATTGTTAATACCATCATAGAAAATATAAACTTAAAGCAGTTAACTGTTAAGTGATTAGCTTCTATTACTTGTGTGCGATATGATGGGGCATTCCACTTAAAATTTAGAAAAGTTCTTAGTACATATGAGTATTTGACAATGTGCTGGAATCCCATTGCTTTCAAAGGAGGTTAAGCAAATGCCTGAGGTTAAGGGCTTAAGTGCTTTCCTAAGTCAGAACTTGAATGATCAGGAACGCCATGGAACATCAGATCATTATGTACCGTGTCTGGTAAGTAGTGTATTCACAGTTCCAGCATCACAGAAAATGGAAGTGCTATCCACCACTTCTGCATGCAGCACTGAAGATGAAATACATGGGAATTTTCTCTGAAAAATATTTTTTCTCTCTTTCCTCAAACACATATTTGGATCCTTCATGTAGTTTAGTGCTCTTTTATTTCCATGGTACAGGAATCACATGTTAGATAACTGGCTTTGTAGCCTTCCAACCAACATGTCTGCAATGATAAATGATGCCAAGAAACCTAATTGCCTCATTCTTATTAGGGAGGGGGCCAGTATCGAGACAAGATATTTGATAGTAATATAGAGATCGCATCTTAATCTCCATATTAACCCACTTTTTCAAAGATGTTATCAGTCCATTGGAGTTCGTGTATAATGACATTTAAGGATTTGGGGGCAAAGAAAAAGGGTTAATTCCCAAAGCATTTGATTTAATATCCATTTCGGAATATAATAAATACTGGATATAATACTGGATATTATATGGATATACATATTGGATAGCCTATTGGATAATCAGTTAGATAGCCATTGGATATCCAATATACCCATGTATTGGACAAATAGGGGTCTGGGTATATATTTACTAGTTACAGCACTTTTCATTCTATACTGCTTCACTGCCTACAACATTAGTAGTCTGACTTTGTCTATCCCAAGTTGCTACTTTGTTATCTGAATTTCTTATTTCTGGAGCATGAGCCACAACTTAGGAAGGGAACTTAGCACCCAGTTCTGAAATGTCTGGTGTGTCCTCAGATTCAGCTTATGTCCATAGCAATTATTGGAACTTGGAAGCTTGTTAGAGGCTCTCAGCACCGCACAAGTTCATGGCTTTAGCAAATGCCAAAGTGCAGTCCTTACCGTGAAATAGGGCTGTGCAAAATTATGATGGGTGTTTCATTTTGAAGCTGTTTCGATGCGTTTTGAGCTCGAAACAGCAAGCTTGAAATAAAACAAAAGGCTTTGAAATGAAATGACGGTACTTGAAACATTTCAAAAGTTTCGAAATGTTTCAAAAGTTTCAAAAGTTTCGAAACATTTTGAGTTTCGAAGCTGGGCATGCTGCAGCTAAACAGAAACTGAGAGGGAGGTGGAAGATGGGGGAAGGACTGCTCTCTGATATTGACATCTAGCTCCCTGTTCAATTCCCCAGCTCTCTGATCATATCCCTGGCTCTTCCTGGGGGGTGCGGGCCCCCAATCTGCACATGGGGTTTCAGCAGGCTGCCACTGAAACTGCAGTAGCAGCCCGCTTGGGGGAATGTTCAGGTTCCTGAACATTTCCCCCAGCTCCTGATTGGATTCCCCAGCTCCCCAATCTTTCCTCCAGTTCTCTGATTGCTTCCTCCAGCTCTTAATGGGGGCCACCAGCACGAGCTGCAATGGGAGGGCTGCGGGCTGGGAAGCTGTGCCAGGGTCTTCCCTATGGAGCTCAGCCTGGCAGCGGGACAGCTGGTGGTGGAACCACTCAGAGCACAGCCTTGGCTGCAAGCACAGCCCTGGCCAGTGGCTCGCCTCTGCCTCCTGCCATCTCCTGCTGCTAGGCTCAGTTCTGTTGGGCTGGTGGAGCCACTCAGAGTGCAGCCCAGTGGCAGGAGGCGGGGAAAAGCCAGGGCTGTGCTCCGAGCAGCTCCACCAGCCCCACGGAGCTCAGCTCAGTGGTGGGAGGCAGCAGGAGATCAAGTGGCAGAGCTCCTCTGAGTGCAGTCCTGGCTCCAAGCACAGCCCCAGCCAGTGCTCTCCCCCACCTCATGCCACCAGGCTCATCTCTGTTGGGGGTGTGGAGCCTCCCGCTGCTGGGCTGTGCTTATCAGGGCTGCCCTCCGAGCAGCTCTGCCACTGGCTCTCCCG